CCATTTTTAAGTTCGGTAAACCATCTATAAATGGGCCATTTTCCATGGCTATATTAAATAACCAGAGGGTAATATAAATTGGTCCAAAATGAGGGTTAGATCCCAAACTCCAATGGTTGAGAAAATCCGTTTGCCTCCTAAAGTAGCTAACATTGAGGTCTCCCACCATTTTTGGCAAAGCCAAGAGACTAAAGCGATTGAATATGGCACATTTTGAAGTGATTCTTGTAAAGAAAGACATAAAGTTTGCCTATCAGATCCTATCAGATACCCTCTGGTAAACTAACATAACTATGGAAAATCACCATTTTCAATGGGGAAATCCACTATAAATCACCATTTTCAATAGCTTTTTGTTTCAGTTTACCAGGCCGGGTATCTTGCCATGATGAAACATCGAAGGGATCTATGGATCCGCTGGACAAAACTCTGAAAAACCCTGGATCCACTTAGCCACTTAGGCTGGACAGTCGCTGTTGGACTCTGAGATCCATGGGCTGTTTACAATGACCTCACTGATGTCGCTTCCGGGAATGAACGAATGAACGAATGAACTGGCTTGGGATTTACTGTCAGTATCTATCAGTTTTTCCAAGATGGTGAGCGCCCGATAGGGAACCAATGAAAGTGAGACATTTCTGAAGAGCATAGAATCGTCATGAGTGAGTGATAGCCTACATCTCTTTTGTTTCATCGCTTTCGGTTCCTTTCCATGGTTTTCGGATGTTTTCGGTACAAAAATAGCATGTTTGTCATATTAGTCAATCACATCCTGGTTGATGGTTTGGAACATTTGGATTATTTTTCCATATATTGGGAATTTCATCATCCCAACTGACGAACTCATATTTTTCAGAGGGGTAGGTATACCACCAACCAGTAGCTATGAAAGTACAATCATCATATAGCCAATTAGTTCAATCACATAAAGATCTCCATCTCAGTGATTCATGATATATGATCATAATATTATGATTCAGATTATAAAAAGGGCCACAACAATGATTGGTATGTTTAATAGGTGGTATGTTTACCATCTTAAGAATTCCGTATTTGTCCCATAAAAATGGGGGGGTGTTACCCTCTGGTAAACGTTTACATAACTATGGAAAGATCCACCATTTTCTAGCTGGGTAGTCATCAACTATTTCAATGGCCATTTTCAATAGCAAACTGTTAGTCATTACCAGAGGGTAGCACCAGCCTATCCCACCAGCCTCATTCCCACCTCAGCCCTCTGAGGTCGGAGGATCTCCAGGATCCGGAAGATCCGGTGCCCGAATTACAACTCGAGGTACCGCGTGCGTTTTTCGGGACCAGCTGAAGGGTGTAGAAAAACCGTACAGCAATGGCTGGGTTGAGATACAACAAAAGCCTGGTAAACTGAAACAAAAAGCTCTTGAACATGGCTATTTATAGTTGATTTAGATATTTAGCTATAAAATGGTGGATCTTTCCATAGTTTTTTGTAAACGTTTACCAGAGGGTAAGCTGAGAATATCTGAGATATTCTGAAGTGGAATCTTATGGATGTCACGCTATTTTTTTGGTCATAACAATGTATGTATATTCATACATTTCACATCCATAGCAACCACCAAAAAACTATAGAAAAGACAAAAAATCGATTAAAGAAGGGATCTCTCTGAATCTTTATTATACAATATTATATATACTATCTTTTGGGAGGCTACTTAATATATGTTTGGTTACCTGTCGGTAACTGAAGTGGCTACCTGTTCCAAAAGTAACTGGAAGGTTAGGGTTATAGTTACTATACTTATCTTATACATATTAAGTAGGGATATCTCTATCTTTGTTACTTTTTGTAAATATAAGAAAGATAATGATAACTAGTATTACAAATACTATAATATACTTGATGCATATTGTGCAATTGTATATAGATGATCTAATTATTGTATTGATAATCTAGTACATAGTTGGTTATAGTTGATTATCTCAGTTATCTCAGTTGCATATCAAACCAACTGGTCTTTCTATAGTTAATATACTATACCCTCTGGTAAATAAACAGTTGGAGCCAGGTCACATCCCTGGCAGCGCCGGCGACTTCGCCCACGGTTACGGCGCTTCCGCGAAACAAAGCGGAGATGTGGCTTGGCGGACAGGGTGGACAGGGGATCAGACGTAAATTGTGCATGTTGACTTGGAAGACATATACATATATGTATATATATGTGTATATATATATACATATATATATATATGTGTATATATATATATTATATATCTATGTATGAGTAGATATAGTGTATGTAAATCTTGGCTTGGGTATGATCTAATGATCTATACTTATTTACTTGATCATTCTGAAGTAGATTGAGATCAAATTTAGATGTACCCATCCTGAGGTCGCAGATGGAACAGAACCCTGGATCCATACAGCTCAAAACAATCATGGGAATAGTCCGGCGTACTCCGCCATGACATCAAGAACTGGCGAATCGGAAGATCTGGGATTTTTGGCTTCCAATCTTTGATATTCTTTGATGGGATAGGTATTTTTGTGTTGCCAAGTGAATGATGATTAATAACCATTAACCATAAATCATCATTAATAACCATCATTGATAACCATAGAATCTGAACCAAGTTTGGATTGATTGAAACTCAGAAGGAGTTGACCCAAGGCCGGATGATGACATTCAGAACCTGGAAAGGCACAACGTGAATGTGAAGATGTGAGCTTCCTGCTTGCTGCTTTTTTTTTGTGTGTGTATGTGTTTTATTCTGCTTTGGCTAGGATGAATTGGTTTGATGTATATAGTCGGTACAACCATGTATATATATATATGAACTGTATCAGGGCCCATGCCAATTTTTGCAACTTGCAGGCCGATTATGTGGCGAACTTTCTGGATCTATATCGTATTCTCTTACAAAGTCCCGCTTAAATTTCAGCATGTTTCATCTGGTTTCCATCCATTTTTCCACAGGAAGAAATCATCCATTTTCCATCACAGGTATTTTGGGTCTTCGATCCAATTTCCATCCATTTTCTCCAAGGATCTTCCAGATTTTCCAGAAAAACATGCTCATTTTCTATGGATCTTCCAGATTCCCAGATTTTTTTTAAAGAAAAAACACATGGCTGGCACGGTTCGTTGCCTCGCCTCGTTGCAGGTCGGTCTTAAACCTGGTGAACCAAGGGGCCTCGCCGGGCATGTCTGGAGCCCAACGGAGCCCAAAGAAAAACAGCTAAGTAGAGCTGCTTTCTGCAGAGCTTTCGGTATTCAACTCGAGTTGATTACAATTGTTGCAAAGTATCCTTAGTACTCGATTGATCTTAACTGTGTTGCCAGTACTCTTACAATTGTTGCACTCGAAATCTTTTTTTGTGCAATTGTTGCATTCAGAATTCTAAGGTTGAAAAAGTCTAATTAAAAAAATATGGATGCTGTTGGAGTTGCAATGAGCAAAATGTGAGAAATTTGAGGCCATCTATAGCTTTTCATAGCTTTTCCTACTTCCAGATGGCATCCGAAAGCCACGTTCCCAGGGTGACCTTCGTGGCGGAGGTGAGGAAATTGGTGCATGGGAAGATGAAGAAGGACCGTTTCAAAGAGATCTTGGATGATTGGTGCCATGGTCAGACCTGGGTGCTATTCATGGTGCTATGAACATAGATTGTGAGGCCCCCGTTGACGATAGCGTTCAGTTGGTGCACAGAACTCCAATTTCACTATGGTTGATGGTACGCTTAAATAACCATAGTTACTGGGGCTTATATATAAACCAACTAACATCACTGGGGGGCCTCACATTGTAGATTGTGATACCTAAGTGTTTGTTCCATATTCACTTTCCAAATTAGGTCCGGAGATCTGTCTGACACCAAGGTACGTTGGAGTTGGAGTTGGGGCGATGCTGAAATGCTCCGAGAAAACTCGGAGTTTTCTTGGAAATTCATCCGTTAGGATCAGTGATTACAAATATGGGGATTTCCTAAGTCATAGGGGTACCCCCAAATCATCCAGTCGTCATGGATGACCATGACTTAGTAGTGAAACCTTTTGAAACCTATTTTGTGACTTGAGGATGCCCCATTTTTGCAAACCCTCATAAGTTTCAACATCGAAAGTGTTTGTGTGGTGGTACTTCCATGAGAACTGAGCCTTGCATGGTTTTTCCTGGGTTGATCTCCAAACAGGAAGATGAGACCTGAGCCACTTCATTTCATAGGAACACATTATGACAGCTGGTTGATGGATAACTCCTAAGAAGATCAAACAAGATGAATGATCTGATGGAGTTTCCCCCACTTGCTGTTTCTTGTTAGATTCAACTACTGGTTTTCGTGATTTTGCTGTGGATTTCTGGATTTAGGCTGGGAGCGCCAAAGCGCCAAGTCCCAGAACGTACAAATTCCCCTAACTTTTGATAGAAACGGCCGTTTCCTGGATGTTATCCTCTAACACATCCATATCAAAACAGAGCCATCGGTTGCTTCCCTGGGAGGAGTTGCATCTGCAACACAGCGCCACCGAGAAGTCGTTGAACGTGTCTTGGCTGGGGACAACTGATTCTGCAACTGGTTTTTCTCTGCAAAATGCTGGACAAAAAACGGACCGAATCTTCGTGGTTGATCATCTTTTTCCGAAGACGTGGCCATTTGGGGGTTAGGGAAACTCCCACTATGTGTAGATGACAGATTCGAAAAAACATACTGTTGATGTCCTGGAAATGGTGGAGGATTGATGTGGAACCTGAGGGACTTGGGGCAAGATGGACATTTGGCAATTGGAATCCAAGTCTATTGCTGGAATCATAAGTCTAGTTGGTGACCCTTCCAAATTGGATGGCTTGCACTGGATCTTGTGCCACCTAGAGCCTCGAAGTCTCCAAGAAAAATGGTTGTACTTGTAAAAAAAATGGTGGCCGAAGAAAACGCGGGGTAAAGTGAGGCTCCAATGAGGATAGATAGTTCTCATGGAAGCTGATCCCCATCCCAATGGTTAGCTGATTCCAAGCAACGATTCTCACTAGACGAACGACCTCACCATAGATGATCATTGGCAAGCAGAATCATCCCTAAAACAGGTCCACATTTCCCAGGTCATTGTTGCAGCTCAGTGACATGCCAATTTTATTCTACTAGATGCATAATGATGCATATTCACTCTCGGCAAGCCCCAATTCTACTATTGAAGTTTCAGAATGGTTCCTCTAAGTTTTCCCTGAAATCCCATCCAATCAATCCAACCAACCCAGTATCAATCCAGGATTGTTCAATTTTTTGCACACCAAGCACGTGCTTCACACATGATCTGCAGATCTGCAGAGGCTTCCTACGTTGCCATCGCCGGCTGTTCCTCTCGCGATTGGAGAGAGATGCTCAATGTGGCGCTGTCGCGTGATGTGGGGACGCACGGAGGAAGAATCCACTGCTGAAGAGTTGGTTTTCGCCTCTGTGGCCGGAAGGGCACCTGACACTTCAGGGGAAAAACACCTTCGTTGAGAAATCCTTGTCCCTCTTAAAATTGCAATTTTGGGATGGCCCATCATAGCCCATTATCAGACACACACCATTCAAGATGGAACCCCTAATTTGTGAGTTTCAAAGATGATTTTCCCTAGTGGATAGTGGATATGGTCATTCTTGAGTTTCATGTGTTTCATGTCAGATTCACAGAGTGTAGATGAGCATAGATAAATGGATTAAGTTTTGGCAGTCACGTTGAAACTCTCTTTGAGTCGTCAGATAGTCATGCTGGATCCCAGAAAGGAGATGGAGTCTTGCTGGATCAGATTTGAACCCATGGCAATCTCCACCTAAAAACCATGGGCTTTCTCTGGCCCTGAAACATGAAGTCTTTGTTTGTTGAGTTGAACCCATGAATGAATACTATACTTATAAGTTATATCCCTGTAGTCACAGAATTCACCAAGTGACCTCTACTGAAAAAGTTAGCAAAAATCAGCGATTGAAATCCCTATGACATAGGTTAAACTTCGTTAAATCGCATTTTGTCCCAAGGGTTTCCCATGGGTTTACCCCCATCTTTAGTGGTGAAATGAGGTCAATGGTTCTAGCTTGGAGACCTACAAACTCCCAGAGTTGGCCGAGGATCACAGGCTCGATCCATCCTGCTGGTTTATGTCTAACAGGGGTTGGTAAATGTCCTAATTGAACACCCAAATATTGGGGATAGAATCTCCAACAGATACTTTTTCAAGTGATGTTCAACATTGTTCAACAAATCCCCAATTTTTTTTAGGGACATTTACCAAACCCTATCTAATGTGGGTAAAACAATACGGATATAGGGATACAAGCCATAGGGATATATGATGGGGATATATGTGGATTGTTAAAAAATGAGGATTCTGTTTAGTTTCTACACTTTCGGGGATTTTCAAATGATTGCAAATATGGTGATTATGATTGGGAATTTTCAAGTGTCTACAATCATGTTCTTCATGATTTTCTGTGATTGCAAAGATGGTGTCATGTCTTGAAATACGTTGGAACCCAAGAATTTTTCCATATTGCCAGAATGTATAAACATGGCCGTTGGCGTAGTATTATTAACCACCATGAAATATGATCACTATGATTAACCACTATTAATCACCATAAAATCACCATTAATGGAATTATATATACATACATATATTACCCTGTGGTAAACTAACGTAGCTATTGAAAACGGCCATTGAAATAGTTGATTTACCCAGCTAGACAATGGTGGTTTTCCATAGTTTTTTGTTAACGTTTACCAGAGGGTAGATATTCTTAACCATAAAATCACCAAAAATCACCCTGTGGACCCTGTAGCCGCTGCCAGGAAGTGCCGCGACGTTGAAGCCGAGCGTGCGGAACGCGTGGCGGATTTGCAGAGCTTGGCGGACGTCTTCATGGTGCTCGAGCTGGGGGATGGGTAAAGGATGGCTTGAGATTCATAGTGGTTAAATGTGATTAATGATACCTATAATCATTGTTAATGATTGTTAATCATATGGTTGATAATCTTGTTTTTAAGATATGGTGGTTAACCATTATTAATAGTTATAGTGGTTAACCATTATTAATATTCTGGTGGTTCTTATCAACCACTATTAATAATGGTGTTAATAATACTAGTTAATAGTGGTTTTCATAGTGAAAAAAAAGATTGAACCGTTAATGGAGGTTGAAGATTAGCAAAAAAACTGCCGTCGTTTTTTTTTTCCCCGAAAAACCTAGGGTATGTAAGTAATGTGATATGGAATATATACGTATATATATACATCCATTCATGGCTAATAATTGTGACTTTATGGTGAGCCATGGTTAATAATCATGAATAGTGGCGAAAAAAAGTGCCAAGACTGGCTAATCATGTGGGCAACCCTTGCTGCCATAAAGAACTCCCATGACTGGGGATGGTTTATACTTTATAGTTTATAGCCACCCAGAATTCAATGGTGATGACTTGGGGATGGTGATGATAATCAACCAGTTGATGGTTCAAGATCATCCCTGGAGAGCGCCATTTCAGGTAAACATATACCAGGGGCAACCGAAGTTGCAACGGTGTTTATATTATTTTATATTATTTTATATTATTTTAATGCAACATAAAGTGTTTCCAACTGGAAAACCGGGGGTTATATATGTTATTATATGTTCTCATTTTTTTCAATTTTCCAACTACAATAGCTGCCACATCCTGGATATTTTGGGGCACATCTACCCCCACTGCTAGGGATAAACACGGTCGCCATGGTGAGGCCAATACGGTCTACACCTGCAAGCTCTATGCGGGCAACGAGAGCGACCGCTTGCTGCCGGCCGGGCCACGATGTTGTTTGGACTGGGAGATGTCATGATGAATCAGGGGGTAACTCAGTATGAATCACTACATGATATGGTAATGAATAGCACTATATATATATATATACCCTCTGGTAATTTAACGTAGCTATTGAAAATGACCATTAACAGTGGATTTTCCCATTAAAAATGGTGATTTTCCATAGTTATGTTAGTTTACCAGAGGATATGGTAATGAATAGCACTATATATATATAGGAATACTAAGGGAATATAGTGGGAATATGATGATATCTGAATACTAAGGGAATATGATGATATCAGAATCAGAACATTATTTGGGCTAATACTATGATATGACGGGAATATGATGGGAATATGATGGGAATCCTCCAGTAGTCTATGCCACCTTTGATTACCGGAGGCTACTCCATCGTATCATCCCTCTGGTAGAAAGTAAGAGTTTGCTGTGGAGTTTCCATGATTTTTTCAGAGGTAAATCATCTATTTCTATTGGCCATCTCTATTACGGCTATGTTAGTTTATTGGAGGTTATTCTGCATCATTATCCCCAATGAGGTTCTTTTTTGTGACCCCGAACTGTGGGAATAGTTCTCGTGAATGTGGGGTGGTTTTATCCCCCTTCACATCGTTGCACACAATCCCATTGATATATAACTTATATAACCAATGAATATCATGGATAGTATCATACTGGTCATCCATGGAAATGGAGGTTTCCTAATATCATAGATATCATGGATAATATCATGGAGGTTTTTATAACCAATGAATATCATGGATAGTATCATACGGGGATTATGGAGGTTTCCTAAGATGGTCATCCATGACGACAGGACGGGGATCCCCCAGGACTGAAGAACCCCCCACATCTGGCAGCGGCACATCAGTGGGATATCACCCCGGGTGCTTTTTTTTTAGCCACCAGTCGCCGATGTTGCAAGCCTGGCGGCTACTTGGGGCTGCAATTCCAGTTTTTTTTACATATATCATATATATATATTATATAATGTAATATAAATATATATATATTATTATATAATATATCAACCATAGTTATAGGGGCTATATCCCCAACTTCCAGTTGATTCACACAGCGCTCGCGCACCTAGCTACCAGGTGGGCGATTCCAATCGCTGTATCATGGATGTGGAGAAGTATCCTTTGAGCAGCAAGACCAGGTATCTGCGACTGGGGATTTTCTAGCTGGCCGTGTTGGAATACCAAAGGGCAGTTAATTTTTTCTATTTTTCCAAGCAATTGGTGGACAATGTTACAGAGAGAGCTGTTGGACATAGCAATCCTTTGGGTTTCAGGTCTCATTTTGGGTGGAGAACAGCCTTGATACCAACACCAAGCACCAACCAACACCAAGCAGTTGGATGCAGTGGGGCTATTCTAAATCCCAAGTATCAGGAATATACCACACATTGATACAAATTGGGGATGTAATATTGCGGATCCCCCTGTGAAAATGTGCAACAAAAATAACCCTCAGGTCTTTTTTGATCCCCAGTTGCTGAGTAAGTCACATGAGTTGTGCTTGGCAATATTGTAGAACATGGTAAACGGGGTTTCCTCTGCGTTGCTGGAGAAACTACGGCGGACCAAATTGGAATCTACCATAGTGATGGACAGTTCCTCATTCATATCAGTTCCCCTGCAGTAATCAAACGTGGCAATGGAGCATTCCCCTCATTTATCTCCATTTCTAGATGTTCCCAGCTATAAACCTCCAATTTAGGGGGATTTCCCAACCAGCCACCTAACTGATTTCCAGTACATCAACATCTCATGTTACTTGTCCCCATGAACGATACAGGCACATCGACTACTTGAAGGATCAACTGGCTTTCTGGGACGCGGAGTACCAGAAGATCGTGGATTCACGTCCGGGCCCAGGAGTGATGAGATGAGCTGGAATCTATGTTTGGTCATATCATCTGGTTGGTGGTTTGGAACATTTTTTACTTTTCCATATATTGGGAATAGGAACCCCAACTGACTAATATTTTTCAGAAGGGTTGAAACAACCAACCAGTTGGTCATATGTAATTGTTTTTATAGAGAAGACTTAAAGGATATGGTCATATCATGTCATCATCACATTCACCTTCATGGTCTTAGTCTTTAGGGAATACTTAAAGTGAAGAGAAAGTAAACATTAAAATCCTTGACTGAAGAATCTAATGCAACATTGACACCCCCTATCCTGATCTATCCTGCGTATCCCGAATCGATTTTCGGCAAGCTGGGAGTGATCCCATCCAACATCTTCGTCCTACATTTTTTTATTTGATACTGAGTCATTCATGTTTGTTTATAATCTGTTCTTTTCGGAGTTGCCATGTTCCTTCTCTCCATCAAATTTTAGGGCAATGGAACATACTACAGTGACCCCCGAAAAGATAGAAGAGTCATTGATCACTATTTTTTTCAGCACGATTTTTCAGTTTCTATCTTTTTTTGGGGTTACTATATAACAACACATTAAAAAAAAACTGAGTTGTTGCTGATGTGCCGAAGAATGGGTGTCTTTCATTGCCATCCGCTTTTAAGGTGTGCAATGCACGTCAAACACAAAGGTGCAGCCCTGGTCGCGTGAAACGCAGTGGATTCTTGGGGCTATCCCTTGTGGTTCTTCGTAAGATACCATAAGTAGGTTATAAGTACCCCCGTTATAAGTGGGCGATCGCCCTATTTACTCCATGAAATGTATAATAATAATAACAATAAATGATGATAAGAAGAATACTAGTAATAATAATAATAGTAATAATAATAATAGTAATAATAATAATAGTAATAATAATAATAATAATAATAATAATAATAATAATAATAATAATAATAATATATATATGTGTATATATAATATTAGAGATATCTAAATTATTGCCTACTTACTACTTGATTACTAAGTAGGATGAACCGGGAAGAAGCGACCTTGCAGACCCGATGGGGTAAATGTTGGGAATCCGGGAGAGCTTTCGCAAAGCTCAGACGACTGAGAAACATCCCGACGTGGATTTTTTTTTTATTGGGTTCACCACTTTGAATATGTAGTATAGGTACTACTGTGGATGGTTGCGAAATCCTGCACCAGTTGAAAACGGTGGTAAACATCCCACTATTTATAGGGTTTCAACCTTCCGTCCACCGTAGTATAATCTAGTATACATTGTATACATTTGTATACTACGAGCTATAGATTGTAGTCAAAAAAAAATAGTCACGTTCCTATGCATTCTGTAAACACAGGCAGAAGAAAGTTTTGATGCCTAATAATTCACAGGTTTATTAGATTGTAGCTAAGCTAGTAATTAAATATAATTAAAACTATCTATATAGTTTTTCACTACAGAATTATTAGGCTACAGAATATTATAGATTGTAGCTGAACTTCGCCTAATAATTTACAGCTTCCTGTCCATTCTCCTGGAATGGATGGGAAAATTGGTCAGCCGGACACCTCCAATATATGGTAACACCATGTTTTGTTTTTCGCCAAAAAATCGACCCAATGAATTCCCGGGGTTGAATCATTTAGATCAAAAAACATGTTCTTGAGTTATATATCCCCAAACTCTCTAGGATTTTATAGGATAAACGAATACATCCTTTTTTTTCCATAAATTTTGGGGCTCCCTCAACGGCCAGAAATTAACATAAACACCGGATAGCCGCTAGGCCTATGAGGCGCACAAGGTCACGGTGGACCAAGCGAAAACTGCATCTCGGAGCATGGCATTTCTGCTGGGTGAAATACACAAACACGAATTGCTATTGTTCATCATCATCAGAATTAGAATTAGCAGAATTAGCAGAATTAGCAGAATCAGAATTAGCAGAATGAGAATCAGAATCAGAATCATCATCGAAACACATGAACATGAACATTATCAGCCATGATACTGCGGATGGTTGCGAAATCCCTCACCAGTTGGTAGAGGGGCAAAATCCCATGAGAACCCCATTAGATATTTACAATGTTTCATACTTTTCATAGTTACCAACTGGTGCAGGATTTCGCAACCATCCACAGATATCCTCAGATTCATAGAGATTTTAAGTGAGTCATATTCTGTCTAAAAACATAGTTGCTATTAGCACCTTCGATCATCATCAATATTCATCATCATCACCACCATTATCAATGATGATAGTAATACTATTCTCATGACACAGAATATTAACCAATCATGGATTATTATTCTAATCGTATTAATAGATATTAAATGATATTAATAGTACATTATAGTATTAATAGTATAGCTAGTGCTAGTACCAATTATAGTATTCATAGTACATTGTCATTGATAATGTTACCAATCGTACATTGATTAATATTACAGTATCATTACTATTATCATGAAAATAGTACATTATCAATCGATAGTATTAATAGTACGTTATCATTATCATATATAAATAGTATGTTATATTAATAGTACGTTGTCATTATCATTATCATGTATATATATATATATCATTTATAGATGATTTTCCCATTAAAACCTCCATGTATAAGGGATGTTCCATGGCTATGTTAATACCGGAGGGTATATTAATATTATTAATTATCACTTCATATTCTTCAGAAGAAACCAGCGTCACCGTGGCGATGCCTCGGCCGCCTCGGAGGCTCTGGCGGAGGTCCGCACAGCATGCAACGAAGCGCAGGCGCCGTGTTTTTTTTTTTGTTTTTTTTCGAAGCAAACGAATGCCAAGCTAAAATGATTATTGAGCTTATATATGATATTATATAATTATAATATATATATATATATATGTATAATGTATAGTATATGTATACTGTAGATATTCCAGTGGTGTTTTTCCACAGAGATGCTCCTTGTCTTTTTCTAGATCAGTTGGATGTTCCAGCTGGAAGTCTCTTTCAGCACAAGGCCAAGATGGATGAAACTTCCTGTGGCTATAAGGCCTCCATCACGAAGGCTGGTTGTTTCGGCTGGAGGGTCATGCTGGAGTCGGAGGGTAAAGTTGTGGAAATCCCATGGAATCCATTGAAATCCAGGCATTTTTTAGGGACGTTTTTTGGGACGCACGGGGCACTGTTGGCTGAAAGAAATGTTCACCGAAAGCGTGTTGTAGCAGCACTTTGGAGAAGCCACATTTGAATACATTTGACCTCATGAACCCAAAGGGTCTTAAAATAAACCATGAAAAACGCATGACCATGCATCATGTTTCATCGCTCTTGAATGTTTTTTTCTAATATTGGAACCACCATGGCTTTCATCACTTCAACCACCAGCGGTTCGTGTGAGCCAGAAATGCGAGCTGGTGGCGCGCTGTCAAGAAGCTCGGGCGTGCTATTTGGTGTTTGGAAGGGAGCTATAAGGAGATATAATATAAAGAGCTATGGGGATCCACATTCCCTACTAATGTCAACCCCGGATTAATAAACCATAGTTTATTAATTAGGGGGGTATTCCCCCAATAGTTATTATTTGATACTTAAATGGTACCTTCCCAATTAAACAGCCTAGGGGTTTATTAATCCAGGGTTGACATGAAATGGGAAACCAAGGAGCAAAGAGGTTTCCGGAATCATGAGTGATTCATTATAAGTACCCTCTGGTAAACCAACATAGCTATGGAAAATCACCATCTTTAATAGGTAAATCAACGAACTAAATGGGCCATTATGAGCAAATGCTGCAGATGTAAGTAGTTGGGCTAAACATCCTTTTGATCAACTGGAAGACTGCAAAAGAGTACCTAAAGGAAAAAAATATTGCCAAGACCCTAAGTTTAAAGCGGTCCTATTTTCCTTTAGGTACTCTTTGGAACTAATTTTCACTAATTGACAATCTAAGTTGTCACAATCAGTCCTTTTTCCAACATATTACATGTCTCGACGGCAGCAGGTGGTGTTTTCATACACTTTGCACAGTCTACCCTCTGGTAAACTAACATAACTATGGAAAGATCCACCATTTTATAGCTGGGTAAATCCACTATTTCTATGGCCATGGCTTCAATAGCTACGTTAGTCATTACCAGAGGGTATGTCACAGTCACTTTGAGCAGGTCATCAAACTCAGCTTGAGTTGGAGTTTGACTCCCCTGCCACCTATCCAGTTGCCATGGCTTCACTTCGAGCGAGCGTAGCAATCCCAAGGTTTTTTTTCGGGCACCTGTTGCCAGTTGTTGCTACAAAAATGTCTGGCACGTTCGGCACGTTGGACGTTCAAGCAGCCGTTTCGGAAGAACAGAGGTACCATAAATCATGGTTTTTTGGGGTCCAAACATAAGATGGCTATGGATCAAAACCGATGAAACCCAGTGAATCCCAGCTAGAAAAATTGTGGTGAACACCAGGTGACCCATGGGTAAAATGAGCCATGCAAGACGTTTTTATCCCATCGGATGATGATGAAACTGGTTCGTTTTGGAGACCAAGCATCCAAATCCACAGAGATTTCCATGGATTTTTGGAAGTTCAAAATAAGATGCACAGAAAAAAAGTTCTTGGAAAAGATCAACTTCTGTTCATTTGAAAAAATCCAAAGATTTACATAGATTTACCAACTTCCAACATCCACTGTAGCTGGTGGGAACATCTTTTTTTCGACTCAGGAAAGCACTTGGAAGACCTATAATGAGACCTTGACCACAGCGAGGACAGAGGAGATATTCCTCAAGGCAGGCTTTGGACGTGTCAATGGAGGCAGATGATGAAAGATGTTGGATGTTTTTGTACCATGATTTACAATAGAAATGGAGGTGTCAATGGGAAAATCATCTATAAATGATGGATTTTCAAGCAAACCATGTTTGATGACACCGGAGGGTAATATGGTTTACATTTGAAGATGATTGAGTTTTGGATCATGCCAAACTCAGTTCATGTTCATGTTCATGTTCATCCCAACTTGGGTCACAATTTCCCCATGCCATTTCACGATGCAAACCCTTTGGAAAATCATCGAGCCTTGGAAGACTTTTTTCTGCAGGCTCAGATGAGCACATTGGAGCGTATCGAGTGCTATTTGGGTGCCTTTGAGTCCGGGACCCGATCTTTTTGGGTCGACAAAAAGGGGGTTCGATGCTGCTTTGCCCCAATGGGGATTTTGGGTGGATTTGGAGCAGGTGGCTGTGTTTTTTTCCAAACTTGGGGTCATACCGAAAGAAACTGGAAACAAGGGGCATCTCAAGAAATAACACAATGATGTGCATTCCCAGTGAAATGTGAAGCTGTCGAAATAATGCACATATCACTATATCAATCAGTGGTTGATCCTTGCTCTAGTGGTTCATTACTAACCCCTCCTCCGAAGAGCAACTACCCACAAAGTTTTGGCAGGGACCCCAAACTGAGCAGATTCATTGCATTCTACAAGGGATTCTGGAGGAATCAGTCCTGAGCTGCACATGCCTGCAGCGGTGGACCCAAACATAGCGGTACAACATCAGCATGCCAACTGATTCTGACCGTGATCCTTGGGTGAAAAACCCCTTGGTCAAATCGTGGGGGGGCAGGGGACGTCCCATTCCCCAGGCTCAGTGATATGAGGGAAGGCATCCTGCAGTGCAAAGACAAGGCGGATTCCCCCACGGAGGTAATCCAGAAGCCATCTACAAAAAGGGCGCTTACTAAGTTAGTTACTATAGTGGGATGGTCCTCCAAGTACCGAAATGAAATTGGTGGCTGACGATTTTTTCGTGCTTTTTTCCGGGTGACCCCATTCATTCATAGTCGGTGGGTAATCCAGTTGATCTCCCGGGTGGGTAAACATATAAAAAGATGTGGGTAATTTTAATGGCCCATTCGGAAGATGATCTAGAGGATCAATGCGAACCCTCCACAGTTTTGGCGGGTAAGCGATCGCCAGTTTTTTAAGCACCAAAACATTCCTTGGGAACGGGGAGTTTCAGCTGAAAAAAGGACTTGTTTTGTAGATCTGAACCTGGCTTATCCCATGTTCATTGAGCTATTTCACAAACAACATTGATCTTTTTCAGCAATACACGTGCTTGATCTGGTTGGTGGTTTGGAACATTTGGATTATTTTTCCATTCAGTTGGGAATTTCATCATCCCAACTGACTTTCACTCCATCATTTTTCAGAGGGATAGGGCGAAAAACCACCAACCAGTTGATTGTTTTTGTAAGACTAAGAACTACCCTCTGGTAAATTAACATAGACCCTGGCAGATAGGGGTTGGAAGACTAGTTTCCATTAAAGATCGGTCATTTTCAGGGTCTATGTTAATTTACCAGAGGGTAATCACTCATTCATTCTACCACGATTCGAATCCTGAGTATTTCAACCATCCATGAGATGATCCCGGTGGAAACATGTCGCCACTGTGCTGGCGCACATCGCGTGTCAGGACTTTCAACAGCACGAGGAAGTCATCAAAATGTCGCCACTTGGGCAGAACAGGGCAGTCTGAAGCCCGCCCCAAAAATGCCGAAGAACTGCAATTGGGAAGCTGGCCTGCGATGATTTTCCTACATCTGATGGTTATTTATGGTTGCTGCAATATAAAAAGACTGTCAACAAGTTCAACCATAGAAATGTGATGATCCCCACTAGGATATGGTTTCAGGCTCAACCACCAACCTGTCACGATTTTTGGTTTTCTCATCTGGGTTTCTCCCCAACTTCGATTGTTAATCATCACTCTCCCAGTCAGATTAGTTTATGCCTAATTAATCTGATTGGTGGTTTCAAACATGGCTTTTATGTTCCATTTCATATATGGTATGTCATCCTTCCCATTGACGAACTCCATTCATGTTTCAAGATGGCAAAATTGCACCAACCAGTCATGATCTTGACTATTCATTGGATTCATTGGATTAGTTAATATGCCCAATCAAACTGCTTGGTGGTGCAACCATTAGACCATGGTTATAAACTCAGTCATAAACGATACCCTCTGGTAAACGTTTACATAACTATGGAAAGATCCACCATTTTCAATGGGTAAATCGACTATTTTTATGGCCATTTTCAATAGCTACGTTAAATTACCAGAGGGTACCCCATTTTCAGAGCATCTTTTCGCCGGATCAACGTGTGGATCACCTTGAGGTTTCACGCCAGGGCCAGACCGGAGCCGAGTGAATGCCAGATGGAACCTTGGTTGGGCCACGTTTGGGCCACGTTTGGGCCGTGTTCATCGCTTACGTTTCAGTGGGATACCCGGCCTGGTAAACATTTAAACAAAACAGCTATTGAAGCCGTGGCCCAGCTAGAAATAGTTGATGACTACCCAGCTAGAAAATGGTGGATCTTTCCATAGTTTTTTTGTAAACGTTTACCAGAGGGTAGATGAGAATAGTCAATAGTCGATACACGTGTGTATAATGATGTCATCAAACAAGGCTGGCTGGAAAATCCCCGAACTAAAGGGCAGGTTTTAATGGAAAATTATCGAACTCAATGGGGATTTGTTTTCCGTCGCCACATGTGGTTCTGGGGAAGGAATCTATCATTTTTCATACCACTAGATAGCTTCTTTATATTTGTTTTCAACGTTGGGCAATTTTTAGGGTTCTTGTTTATCAATGTGAATTTCAGCAGGTGTCCCAAGTTGGTATTTTTCACTAGATGTTCCATTGTTCATAGAATTGGATGACGGAAAAATTTACAGGAACCCCCTATATTTCATGGTAATGAATCCAAATTGCACTGAGTGCCCAGATGAGCTTGCAGAAACCACGGCCTGCAACTTGGAGTTGGCAGTGTTCTGGCCATCGAACTCAGCCGTGATTCGCTTCTTTAGGTGCTTCTCGATCTCATCCACCAATGAGCAAGCCAAAGACTCGGGGTCTCATCTTTCATCTTGTCCAAGCATTCCAGAATCAAGTGATCTTGGAACTGATGAAACAAATCTTGAATGGCTGAGCTGGAATCTCCAAGCTTCTCCTTGTCGAGCAGTGCTCGAAACTTGACCATCAAGTCTTGAGCTTTGGTACTGCGTTGGCCCAGCTCTTTTCCCAAGAGTTTCTTGACATCCAATGCATTCAAACTCTTCTCAGCAGTGTAGGCCAACGAAAGCACGGCGTGGCGCAAGTGCAAGAACTGCTGCTTCCAGTCTTTCGACTGAGCGCTGAGCTGCACAAAAAAGTCTTTGCCCAAACTCTTGTTTGTGCTGGTGTGCCCCTTGATCCTCGTGTCAATGCCTTCCATCAAACCTTCATGGGAAAAATTCTTCAAGAAGGTGAACATGTAAGGCGTTGCCTCATGGCACTGCGGTTTGGTCTGGAGCACCTGCTTCTTCACCTGGTTCCACTCAGCATGAGGCTGGGTCCTCATGAGTGACCTCATTCTGGCAAGGATCTGCCATTCACTTTCCCCTTTGGCAATGTGACTGGACACATTGCAGGCGCTCTGGACGAGCTGAGCGATTTGTGGAGAAAAACTCATCACATCTCGGTGGATTACAGTCCACTCCAAGCCTGCATGGCAGGCATCGAACAGTGCCTTGTCAACGGACTGGATCTTGGACATGCTGATGCGACCGTTCAGTGAAACTAGCTCCTCCTCAGAAGCAACTTCGTGCAGCGCGCATCGAAGAGCAGCATTTGTGTGAGAGCAACTCAGTGATGCATACCGCATCATGGTTTCGTTGATGGCAGGAAGGAGCCCACCAGAAGATTCCACCAGCTTTCTGTTGAAGTCCACCATGGTGTCACCGGGCTGCAGCTCTGTGCACACCGGATGGGTCTGAGACCCATCAAACCCCACCGAAGCGATCATGCTTAGGAGGGTATGGGCGTCCTTCGGACACAGGCCAAATCCGTCCCGGTTTTGGCTATGCACACCGATCTCGTCGGGCTTGAGCCGCACAACGCGGCTGAGACCATTTTTTGCCAAGGTCTCCATGAGTCGGCTAGATGCTTGGACTAGTTGCCCGCCATCTTCTGCGTGCTTCAGGCACTCAGTGATGGCATCCTGAACATCTTGACTCAGAGCCATGCTTTCACCAGTGAGGCGCGGCAAACTTTGTCTTTGATCCAAGACTTGGCAGTATAGCGAGATCTCATGGTCCCTGCACTGCCTTTACTGAGGCGAGCATTCTATGATGCCCTGCAGAAATGTTATTCAAATCAAGCGCTTCGACAAACATAAAAAATCACATAGGTTCCTGAATCCAAACTGTTTTCTTGCATTGTGGCAAAATGTAACATGAGCTGACCAAACCATGCAAGCAGCGCGCATCCACGTGTCAAACATGATCCTTTTACGAAATGTTTGTGCAAAAACAGGAGCTGACAAACACAAACAGAGACATGAGTTTCACATCGCAACATCCCGCACTTGGCTGATCTGCCCAGCCTCGTTCTCGAGAATGTGTGAAGCCAGCTTGGCTCCCAAAAAAAATCAGCTGCGGTGTTTCTGCATGGTCAAGCAGGTGACGGTTTGGCAACCCAAACATGATGGTGTAACCAAAACGGACACAAACCTCTAGCGTTCCAATCATTAATAGCGCTGTTTGTTCAAAAAAATACGTTGTTGTTTTGTTTGTAAAAAATGTTTCAGTCCATTGGTTACAAAAAAATCAGCGAACCGTTTCTTTTTTGGCATTCAAAAAATACATCCTTGCACAGTGATGTTGTTTCTTGAACCTGTGTGGAAACATTATACGGGCCAATGCTTCAACATGACCCTGCAACTGCACATCTCACCAACTCAACTCAATCGATCTCTTCGCGGAAAATTGAATCCAAAAAAACGCGTGGAAATAGCAGATCCTGAAGCACGTTTGTGCGGCAAAACCAATGCCACGCCACAAAAATAAAGCGACCTCACAGCCCAGCTGGCTCCAAAAACCATGGTGCAAATCCAGAAATAGCCTACTTATAACCATGGTTATGTGTGGTTATAAGTGGGCTAAGTAGGTTAGCTAAGTAGGTTAATCATGATTATGTTACTTATCTAAGTATGGTAATTAAGTTATATTTTTTCAAGATCTACTTATCCCAATTAGTAAAAAAAATAGTTTTTTATCCAAATTAGTAAAAAAAATAATCGGTGACAATAATTACTAAGTAAGAAAAACAACTTATAGAGATTGGTGGAATTATAACTTCGATAACCATAGGTTATCGAAGTTATAACCAGAGATATCGAACTTATAACCATGGTTATAAACTTGCTAAGTAGGATAAAAAATTATAAGTACCCACGGGCATCCAAGTACAGCATGTTTGCTG